TCATGGCTTGAGGCCACCGGCCATTGTTTTGTTGTCATCGGCCAAATGTTTGGTCAGTCGGCACTCTGTTTGGTCGGTCGACCATTTATTTGGTCAATTTGGCGTTTTTGGCTGGCCGACCACTGTGCATCTGCTTTTGACAGATATTTTTGTGCCAGCCGTGCTAGTTGGCACCCACTTTGCACCCCCTCCATGCACGTGTATGGAGGGATTTCACTCTTGCTTAGCTTATTCTGTAAGCTTTGCAAGAGTGATCCTCTATAAAGGAAGGCCTTCTCCTCCTTCCTCAAGGGTTAGAGGGTTGAGTTCCAGAGCTCTGGATTAGGGTTAGCATAATTGTATCCATTCTATCTCTATATCTCCTTCTCTTCCATATTGTGTGTGTATTAAGGTGTTTTGTTCATAGTTTTGCATACAAACACCTAGAGTTACACTTTCCTTTGGCTACTGAGGTACTAAGGAGTGATTTTCAAAGTTTTTGAGTGGATTTAAGCTTGGAAAAGGGGCTGGAGTGGTCCTTGTGAAGAAGGTCTTCAAGGGTAAGAACTTTACCCTTTTATTCTATTTTCATTAGGCTTTTGGTCATCCTTGCATCTGTTTTTAAGCTTAAAACTTATAACATATAAAAGTTCTGATTTTAAGTGCTTAAATAGTTGTTTAAGGTTGCTTTGGTGCTTGGGTTGTTTGACCCTCTTAGGCCTTGTTTTGGCCCCCATTTTGTGCTATTTTGGTGAGCTTTGGGACCACCTTGTTTGGGCCTCCTCACCACTGAAATCCAGAGGAATTTCAGTGGGTGGATGGTGCTTTGAGGTCCTAAGAAGGAGAGGGCCATCCCTCTCCTTGTTGTCTTTAAAAGTTGTCATTTTAACCTCATGTGTGAGCCACATTGTTGAGGTCATGTTGGCCATGTCTTAGCTAGTATTTGTGCTTATTTTGCCATGATATAGCACTATTTTAAGTTGGTTTAGACACACCATGCTTGCTTTGCCATACTTGTTCATGTAATGCCATGAATTGCCTTAACATGCTTTGTGCTTTGAGCCTTGTTTCTAGCATGTATTTGGCCTAGCTTTGTGAAGCTTTATGCATGTCTTAGTATTGCTTAAAGTTTTTTTGAGTTGTTTTGGCCATCCATGACATCCTTTGATAGCCACCTTGCATTTTTGGCTTGTTAGCCTTGGGGTGTGTGAGTGCTGAGCATGCATTACTTGGCTTGTTTCAGTGGTTTGGCACCACTTATAGCATCATTCCAGTCCTTGTGGCATGCTTGTGTGCTTGCATTTGATGCTCCTTTAATGCTTTAAAAGGTTAGTGTTTCATGCTTCATGTTTAACCCTTTTGCATGTCTTTTAGACTTAGGCATTTAGATGCCATCTAGGTGTGCCTTGGACCTTGTTTTGGTTTTCCTTGGGTGGTTTTGAGTCCTCATGGCCCTTTGGGACTTACTTCATATAACCATGGTTTAAGCCCCTTGGCTTGCCTTGAGTTTTTGACATAGTTGCATTGCCTGTTTGTCTTTGTTTAGTGTTTGGCACCATCCTTAACATGATTTTCAGAGCTTGGTATGCTTGCCATATGCCCATGTTTGTCCCTTTTAAGTGTGCTTAAAAGTTGCTTCTTTATGCTTAAGTCTTGAACCATGTATCTATGTATGCTTGTATGTACATTTGCCTTCATGTGCTTAGCATATTAGCCAGTCCTTGAGGCTTAAAAGTTGTTCTTTGATGCATAAGTGTTGGACCTTGCGTACATGAATGTTTGTGTGTACATTCGCCTTGCATGTTGTCACACACTTGACCCCTATGTATGTTGTTGCATGCTTAGGTGGTAGTGCATTTGGCATGCATTTCTTTTGCTTTGGTTGCTTAACATGTCACATGTCTTGCATGTTTGTTTGTTGGCATTACATTTTGCATACTTGTTACATGTTTACATACTTGCCTCCATGTTCATGTTGCATACTAGCCTATATGCTTAGGTTGCATTTGGCATGCATGCCTTGCCTCTTGAATCGATTATGATAGAGGTTGGGTCCATTTGTTTGTTTGATTTGCATTACTTTTGACATCAAAATGCATACTTGGCCTCTTTGGCCATCACGTATTGAAATGCGCGATTGGTGGCCCGAGGGTCGAGGATCATCCTCCTTTGAGTCATGAACATGATAAGGAGGGTGCTGATGCACACATTTGCTTAAAATGCATTGTCATGCCATGTTTGCCCTCTGTTGCTGTCAAAACAGGATTCTACAAGCATACATGGTCGGCCGACCATCTCTATTGCCGACCGACCAAACATTTGAGGCCAAAAGCCATATCAATGGCCGATGACCCTTCTACCGTGGTCGATGATGTTTCCCCTTGGTTGGTGATGCTCCACAGTGTTCAGAGAGTGTTCCTTGGCACTTATGCAATTTTCAGAAGAGCAGAGCAGGGTAAACAGAGGCAGCTTGTGCATGGTGACAAATTTTCAAGAAAACCCGAGCACGCATGCATTGGACCCTCTTCCCGAGGCTGTTTTATTGCTTTCTTAGCTTAGTTAATTTGCTTAACTAGTTAAATGGTCTGTAATAATTAATTAGCTTGTAGGTTAATTAATTTGTATTATTCTTTTGGTCCCTCCGTGTCTTCCAACCCCCACTTCTTCCTCCCTTTTACTTACCTGCTTTTGATGGTTAGTACTAGGGCATATTTAATTTAGCATACCTTATGCTATGCATGCATACATTCATTCATCAGTATTGCATGCACCGGGCTCAGCGCATCATGCTAACTGCATAGTACTTCAAATCTAACTTGAATGCATGTTACTTATTGCATTTCACATGCCATCCTAGGATTAACCGAGCCTATTCTAGATTGCATTTTGCCTATGATGCATTAGCCATTTAACATGGACTTGGATCATACGTTTGATTGTTAACATGTTCTTTGTTTTGGCTCGGAGTACGCTGTAAGTATTTATGCTTTAGCATCTCGCATGAGTGTGAATGTTAACATGACAGCATGCTTACCATGTGGCTATGTGCTTATGTGATATTACTGCCTGAATGCCTATGGGTGAAGGTTGGATTGCTTGAGTTGGAACAACTCGTTGAAATCCGTATTTTAGCCTACTTGCAAGTAGCAAATTTCAAACCATTTTCGAACAAACGGATATGCAATGCTTTGTTCCAAATTAGGAAATCTAGTCTATACTTTTGTGTTGTGCGCATCACATAGTAAGATTAGCTAATTAATCGGAATAAGAACACATAACTTTTTCAAAACTAGATATCATGGTTAGTAGAGGCCGATCTTCGGATCAGGCGAGCGGGGGTGCTCATAGCTGACCTTCCCCAATCGTACCCAAGTTCCCGAGCCGAGGCAACTTTGGTGATGACCGACACGTGGCCTTAGGCAAACGAGTCAGGGTTTCCTAAATTCCCCCATAAAAAAATATTTAGGTGGCGACTATATCTGGCAAATCAGTCCATGTTTGGCACTTCTTTCTAAAAATCGATTTTCTCAAAACGATTTGTCGGATTTGGACTCTTTGATGATTCATCAGTTTTGCATTGCACTCTGCGAGATTAGATGCAGGACCGTCATATTGAGTCCGAACTGTAGTGAGCCCAAATAAACAGGACGGGGGGATTCATTCCTCCCGAGACGTTCGGGGACGTCTACACTCGGTCCCCATGATGAGCTTTCTTTTTGTACTTGCCAAGACAATTTTTCTTCTCTCTTTTCTTTTCTTTGTTACTAGTTATGAGGCCATCTGTGCCTTTTGTTGGATGATAGGATTTTCTCTTTGAATTTGCAACCTGATGCTGTTTGGCTTTTATGTTTGTCTAATTATGTACTGCTTGCCCCCAGCCAAGCACTGTTGGGACCTCGAGGCCGAATAGAGGCTCGGCCTGGTTCTGTACTGTTTGCCCCCGACCGAACACTGTTGGGACCTCGGGCTGAACAGATGCTCGATGTGGCTAACGAATATGTGGTATGGCTATGCTTGAGTTCGTAAGAGGGTAATACTTAGGTCTAGGTTGGTTTTAAAAAACAATTGTTTGCCCCCACCTGGGGCTAAGTAAGATTGGTACTAAAGATTGTGCTCTTAGGTAGAACTGCTTAAGTCTGTTCCAACTTTGATAACACAGATTCATTTGAATGGAGAGGTGTCTTACTCAGGTTCAGGTTGGTTTGAAAAAAAAAATTTGTTTGCCCCCACCTGGAGTTGAGTAAGACTAATGCTGGAAGTTTTCTCCTTACAGAGCTTAGTCAAGTTTGTTCTCACTCTGTGTGTTCGCGTCAGTATTGAAGTGTTGACGTGTTGATACTTAAGAAATTCTGTGGATTCAGAGACGTTTACTTAAGATATGTTAGTGTGCTTTCCACCAAGCAATTCCACTTGACTAAAATCCAATTTAGTTGCCAAACATAATTTCACCAAGCAATACCACTTGGCATGTTTGAGTGCTAACCAAATTTAAATTCCGTTCAGTCGTTCTGAAACTAAGTCCATTTGGGTTAAAACCAAAGCTAATTCCGTTTAATAAACATCAAAGCTAACTCCGTTTGATAAACATCAAAGCTAATTCCGTTTGGTAAGTACCAAAGCTAATTCTGTTTGATAAACATCAAAGCTAATTCCGTTTGGTGACTACCAAAGCTAATTTCATTTGATAAACGTCAAAAGCTAATTACAAGAATTTGGTAAATTTGAGAGAAGTGGGGAAGCACTTGCATTGGTCAACAGATAAATGCCTTTACAATCTATTGATAGCATTTCTTGAGATTTGCTACATTCTAGGGCCGAGGTATAGCTCTTCCTTTCAGATCCTCTAGGTAGTAAGCTTCATTTCCAACAACAATTGTGACTTCGTATGGACCCTCCCAGTTAGGCCCAAGTTTGCCTTCGCCAGGCACCCTTTTGTGATCCATAACTTTCCTCAGAACCAGTTCTGCTGGCGTAAATTGCCTTGGGAAAACTTTTTGGTTGAAACTCTTGATGAGCTGCTGCTAATACGCTACAAGTTTGATCAGTGCTGCTTCTCTTCGGCCCTCTGCCATATCCAGTGCTTGTGCAATAGCCTCCTCATTACTGGTGCTTGCAAATAATTCAGACCGAAGGGTTGGGAGACCTGCTTCGAGCGGGATGATGGCCTTCATTCCATAAGTTAGGGAGTAAGGTGTTTCCCCCGTTGAGCATCGTGCTGTGGTTCGATAGGCCCATAATACGTGGGGTAACTCTTCAACCCACTTGCCTTTTGCATGTTCAAATCGTTTCTTTACTCCGTTGATGATGGTTTTGTTTGACGCTTTTGCTTGTCCATTGCTTTGCGGGTACCCTGGAGAAGAGTTCCTATACTCGATTTTGAGGTCGACACAAAACTTTCTGAAGATCTTACAATCGAACTGTGTTCTATTATCCGCAATCAGTATCCGTGGGATGCCGAAACGCACCACCACGTTTCTCATGACAAACCGCTTTGTGTCTGCTTCCTTGATACTTGCCAGTGCTTTGACTTTGACCCACTTAGTGAAATAGTCGGTTGCAGCAATGAAGAATCACCTGTTCCCAGTGCCTCGTGCCAATGGTCCAACAATATCCAGACCCCATTGGGCAAAGGGCCATGGGCTGGTCAGGGGTGTAAGAGTTTTGGCTGGCTGATGAATGAGTGGAGCAAACCTCTGACATTTATCACACTTCTGTACGTATTGCTGCGCATCTTGTTACATCCACGGCCACCAGTACCCGTGAGTGAGGGCTCGGTGCGCCAGGATCTTCCACCAACGTGGCATCCACAAATCCCATCGTGAATTTCGAAGAGAACATTCTCAACCAGATTTGGATGCACGCACAGAAGATAAAGGCCAAGATAGGAGCGTCGGTACAGCTTCCCAGATGGTGAGATCCAAAACCGAGCTGACTTATGTCTGACTTTGTTGGCTTCCTTTTTGTCTTCGGAGAGAGTGCCAGATTTTAGAAAAGCTAGTATTGGATCCATCCAGCTCGACTCTAAGTTGCTACAGAGGACTGGAGATGCAATGCTTGGTTCTGGCACGAACTCAACCCAAAATTTTCTAACATCTTTGGTATCCACTGATGATCCGAGGCAAGCCAGAGCATCAGCATGGCTGTTTTTGTCCCTACTAATTTGTTCCACTCGTATGGATTGAAATTTTCTGAGTAAGTCTTTGGCCTTACCTGCTTACATAGCCATTCTTTCATCTCGTGTTTCATAGACCCCGGAAAGCTGGTTTACCACTAGTTGTGAATCGCTGAAAACAAGAAGTTGTTCTGCACTAAAGTGTTTGGCACTACGTAAGCCAGCCAATAATGCTTCGTACTCTGCCTCGTTGTTTGAAGCCTTCCAACCAAGCATGAGAGCCTGTTCCCAGATAAATCCTTCTGGTGAGATAAGTACTACTCCTGCCCCCGAGCCTCGGTTATTGGATGACCCGTCAACATAAAGCTGCCAGATGTTTCCAATAAAGAGTTTCTATGCTTCCGAAGCGTAGGGTTTTCCCTGTTCGGTGGTGCGTGGCACCTGTGCCGAACTCGAATTCCCCGGCTCGATACTTTGGGTAGGAGCAAATTCTGCGACGAAATCTGCTAAAACCTGGGCCTTGATTGCTATCTTGGGTTGATACCGAATGTTAAACTCGTCAAGTTCTATCGCCCATTTTGCTGTTCAGCCAGAGAAATCGGCTCGGCTGAATATAGATCTGAGGGGGAATTCAGTGAGGACATTGATGGTATGCCCCTGGAAGTAGTGTTGTAACTTTCTCGAGGCGATAAGCAGCGCGTAAGCTAACTTTTCCAAGGGTAGATACCGTGTCTCGGCATCTAGTAAAGTCTTGCTAACCTAGTATACTAGCCTCTGTTCCTTGTTAACTTCTCAAATTAATACTGCTCTTACGGCATGATTTGAGACTGCTAGATATAGGTACAGCTCTTCTCCTGGTTCTGGAGTGGACAAAAGAGGTGGTGTGCTGAGGTATCTTTTCAGTCTTTGTAGTGCTTCGGTACAATCGCAACTCCATTCAAACGCTACCCTTTTCCTCAAAAGTTGGAAGAAGGGCTTCATTCGATTTGAAGATTTGCTGATGAACCAATTTAGTGCGGCCGCTATTTCAGCCAGTTTCTGCAGCTCTTTAGCCTTTGTTGGTACTTCAAGATCTTGTATTGCTTTGATTTGGTCCGAATTCACCTCGATTCCTCTGTGAGTGACCATATATCCCAAGAACTTCCCTGTTCCTACCCCGAAAGCGCATTTCAAGGCATTAAGGCGAAGCTAATGGTTTTTTAGGATGCCAAAAACTTCTCTTAAGTCTGTAAGGTGGTCTATAGAGAACTTGTTTTTTACTACCATATCATCTATATAAGCTTCCATGGTTTTCCCAAGTTGATCTTTGAACATCCGAGTGATCATCCGCTGGTAGGTTGCTCCAGCGTTCTTGAGGCCGAACGACATCACTTTGTAGCAGTAAGTTCCTCTCAGAGTGATAAATGCTGTCTTTTCTTGATCCAGACCGAACAATGGTATCTGGTGATAGCCACTATAAGCGTCCAGAAAGCTCATGCGCTCATGTCCTACTGTTGAGTCTACCAGTTGATCAATGCGAGGTAGGAGAAAACTGTCCTTGGGACAAGCTCTGTTTAGGCAGGTGAAGTCAACACAGACTCTCCATTTTTCATTTTTCTTCTTGACTACAACTGTATTGGATAGCCATTGTGGGTACTGAACTTCTCTAATCGCAACTGATGCTAGGAGCTTTTCGACCTTGGTAATTACTGCTTCAATGTGCTCAACCAAGGATCTTCGACTTTTTTGCACGATAGGCCGAGCAGTAGGGCTGACGTTGAGTTTATGGCAAGCAAAATCCGGATTAAACCCTAGAGTATGAGTTTTTCGACTTTGGCAATTACTGCTTCAGTGTGCTCAACTGATGATCTCCGACTTTTCTGTACGACGGGCCGAGCAGAAGGGTTGATGTTGAGCTTGTGGCAAGCAAATTCTGGGTCCAACCCTGGAGTATCATATGCTGACCATGCGAACACCCCCATATTTTCCCTCAGTAGTTCCAGCAGCTGAAGTTTCTCATCAACGCCTAGCGAGGTATCGATAAGGAAGTAATTTTTTGGATCATCCTCTTTTACCAGGACTTTCTCTAAATCCTTTACTATCTTTTCCTCTGGGGCTCCCCCTACATCTTCCAAGACTAGTTGTTCGGCCACTTCTACTATCTGTACCTGATTGCAGAGCTGTTTTGCCTTTAATGCCACCATGAAGCAATGTTTGGACGCAACTTGATCCCCTGAGATCTGCTCTACTCCGTGTTCCGTTGGGAATCGAATGAGCTGGTGGTAGGTAGAAGGGACTGCCTCCATTTGATGAATCCATGGACGACCAAGTATGGCGTTGTAAGGGGATGGTGTATTAATAACTAGGAACTCTATCTGGAGGGTTTTTGTTCCTGCCACGACTGGCAACATTATTTTGCTAAGTGGCCATTCTGGCTACGAATTGAAGCCAACTAACAGGGCTGCCGCTGGGGTGAGGTGCTGCTCGAAGAGACCAAGCTTTCTGAACAAGTCATAATACAATATGTCTGTTGCACTGCCTTGATCTACCAGGACTCATTTTACGTCAAATCATTTCACAATTCCCACAGTTATAATCAGTACATCAGTATGTGGGTGTTGTATGCCTTCTAAATCCTTTCTAGTAAATGAAACAGTGCACAAGGGGGATTTGGGTGCCGTGCGTACCTTTTTCGATGCAGGGTCCACTAACATGACTTGTTGGATTTGCACAGCCTTAGCAATCTCTTCTTTCAATGTCTCCTCAAGTTCCTGAGTCGTTGTCCCATGGATCACATTTATTATTGATAATACAGTTACGATACAACGAGTTCCAGAGGGAATGGGTCGGACTGGTTCACGCTTCTCCACCCGATATCTGAATGGCCAAGCCCACCTGAGAACCTGCACAGGAGTTCAACGGGGAACAGAGAGTCCCCCAGCGAACCCTCCGACGAGCAAGTTAGAGAGAGAGAGAGAGAAGTGAAACGTAGAGATGTGAATTGAAGATAGAAAACTTAACCTTCGTCTTGTCTTCAACGTCTACTTATATCCTTTGGTAATCATTTCGCCGTCCCTTCCGACCTGCCACCTTGGTCGAAAGTCTATGCTGTAGCTTACCTTGTTCAGGGTAAGGGGGTGCTGTTCCGACGGAGAGGTGTTGTCGTAATAAATGTTGTGATGGACTACATTAATGGCGATGTGTAGTGGCAATAACTTTCCAGATCTTTGTCTGCTGATGTGGCTTGTCCTTTGCTTACCACATGTCTGAATATCCTTGGTTCTTCGTGCCATGTTGGCTTCCAGCTGTTCAGGATCTCATCAGTTGGGTTATATGTTGGGCTCTAAGTGATGGGCTTGGATTGTTCATAGTGGGCTATGACCTTTATGGGCCTAACCACGTCAATTATCAAGCGAGGTGGATGCTCAATATTTGGTTCTGGTGGTGGGTTCCCCAGTTCGGTCACTTCCTTATCGTGATCAATGTAATCCCGAAGGTGCCTAGCTGCTACCAAGTCCTCCAAGTGTTGTTTTAGTGCCCTGCAGTTCTGATTCATGTGCCCCCTGTCTTGGTGATAGGTGCATCTGAGCTTCTGATTGCACCGAGCCGGATCTTTCAATATTTTTGGTGGCCAGACAAAGAAGGGCTCTCTCTTGATCTTTTCTAAGATTTGATAGATCGGCTCTTTGAATACGGTTACGACGGCTTCGTGGGATTTGGACTTATCCACTTCATTCACTGCGATCCCTCGGTGTTCTCCTCGATCTGTTCTCTTCTTGTGCCAAGCCGTTTGTTCTGCTGATGCTACCTCGATGGGGATCTGATCATGTTCGAGGCGAGCGTAATGCTCAATCCTGGCACGCAAGTCTTTCAATGCTGTGGCCGGGCGCTTGGCAAGTGATTGTCTCAACTTACTTTCCGGGCGCAGACCATGTTTGAAAGACATAACGGCCATCTGCTCGCTACACGTATTTTCCTATAGGTCATTGTATTCTTCCCAGTACCTCCTTGCGTAACTGCGCAGCGTTTCCTCCTGCTCTTTTCGGAGGCCGAACAGTGTATCCGGCTTCTTCGAGATCTTAGTGTTGGAGACGAACCTGGCTAGGAACTCTTCGGAGAGCTGCTTCCAGCCATGAATCGATCCAGCGGGGAGTCGATCGAACCATTGAAGTCCGGTTTCTCCCAAGCTGGATGGGAAGACTTTGCATATCAGTGCCTCATCTCGGCTCCATAGAGACATCATCTGTCTGCAATGGCTAATATGTGTCAGCGGGTCCGACTTCCCATCATACGAAGTGAACTTTGGTGGAGTGAATTTCTTTGGAAGTCTTATAGTCTCAATCTCCAGGGAGAATGACGAGGAAATGAACCTATCCAGCGCTCGGTGCTCTCTCTGGTGAACGGTACGGTCTAGATGATCCCAACGCTGCTCGTTCTGCTTGTTGCTGAGCAACCAAGTACAAAGGTCTTGAGGAGGGAATTCAGTCTGTTGGCTAACCGTCTTCTGCCTCTTAGCCCTTCTCCGGCGTGACCCACGAGTGTGGCTGCTTGCCGCCTTACTTTGTACCGGGATAGGCTGGCTTTGTTGCCCGGACTCATTTCTGGGAAACTTCTTCACTGGTGGCTCTATAGATGAGCTCCTCCGTCGCAAACGAGAGGGCTCAGCTTCAGTCTTCTTTTCCGTTGGATCACCCAGCACCCTTTTAAGTTGGGCTTTCAACTCCTGTATCTCCATTCCCATGGAGTCTATGATTTGATCTCTGTAATCCTTTTCCAGAAGAAAATGATGAGAAGAACCTCCAGCGAAGGGTAATTGATGCTCGACGGATTCAAGGGTCCGGTTATTATTTCCAGTTTGTTCCTCCAAGACTGTTGGGAGTGCCAAGCCTTTGTCCTTCGTCTTCTCCGTTTGTGGAGTATGTGTTGTAGGCGGGATGTCCTCAATCCCCATCGCCGGAACTGAGCGCAGAGCTTAGAGATGAAGTGATCCACGTTCACCGCACCAATTGTGCATACTGGATTCCGCACTAGATGAAAGTAGATCGGGGCTCCTCACTCAGTTGGACTATCTAGGGACTGAGGTTCCTGCCACAAGAAAAACCGTTAGAGCTGCCCGGCCGAGGTTGGCCGGATAACCCCTCCGGTGTAGGAATCAGTGATCGGAGAAGAGATGAGTTTGTAAGTTAAAAGGATTCAACTTGGAACAGTTCAGTTACCTTCAATGTGAAGTGAATGAAGTATATATAGGGTTCCTTGCTTACTTCTCAAGATGGTTTCATGGAGCTTAGATGCTGCCAAGTTTCCTTTTAGCCTTGCCCAAGGTGGGGGACCACCTGGTAGTTGTCATAGAATGCATATACTCATTGTAGTTATGTTTATAACAAACCACATTGCTTTGGTTCAACAGCTTCCGCGATTCTAGGTGTAGGGGACCAGCTGAGGTGGCAACTTGCACATGCACATCCTCATTGCTTCCACGTTTCTCTGTGAGGTTCCCTCAACTCGGTACCTTCGTGCCCCAGCTCGGTACCGTTGTGCTTCGGCTCAGCCTTTTACAAGATCGTTTATGGAGATGGTCTGGTCCATTCAGATACCTTTGTATGGGCTCGGCCCACTTTAGTTCGGCTCATGGGTTAGGTCTTGTAGCTCGGCCTAGTCCAACATCGCAGTTGGACTAGCCTTTCCACTTCGGGTTGGGCCCAAGTGCTTGAGGACTTGGGTAGACTGTTGATCATGGAGTTGGGCTCAATTGGCCTGCCCAAAAATTCATCTAACCCACTTGGATTTGGACTTTAGTGGATTGGGCCAGCCCAAGGCTTGGATCCGACCCATTTCACATTCAGCCCCTTCACACACCTAGTCTTCAAGAAATGTAAAGTTACATCAAATACTTTTAAAAGGAATATCGTGGACCCAGCTAAGTTAATGTATCGGTCAAACGTAGCTGGTGTCATAAAAATAATTTCGAAGCACGAATTTGGTGAAGGGCATGTGAAGCAACTCCAGAAAACACCATTTTGGCTAATGATCGACACAATCTGGGTTCACAAATTGGATCCCAATGCGTACAGGAAGTGTGATGCGACCGTGTGTCGTATAATTCAGACATATAGCCCGACTGATGAGAAGTTCCACCTCAGGAGGAGTGGGCTGCCAATCCGAAACAACGACATACGGTTGCTTTTTGGTATCCAATGTGGCAAGGACAAGTTAGATTTGGCGCATAGTGGGAAAGCACCTTCAGATTTCATCCAACGACGATGTCCAAACGTTGGCAGAATATCTTCAAAACTAATCAAGGATTTGCTGCTAGTGGCAATGAACAAGGATACGGAGAGAGATGAAGAAGACGTTGCGAAGTTGGTGTGTCTATACATTTGTGCGAAACTATTTTTCGCAGTGACATGTGAGTCAATTGGGTGGGCTTTCATGCGAGTGATCGATAAGTTGAACACGTTGCGGTCGTACAATTGGACAGCAACGATCCGTAATACACTAATTGGGTCGTTGAACGAAATGCACAGCAGGCCGGAGAAAGTCACCGGCTACGTAGTTGCGTTACTGGTACGTTATTATGAGCTCCATAGGTTTGCAATGTAAATTTATTTAGTTACCTGTGTTTTTAGAAACAAACATGATAATGTACTAAACATTATTAACTTGTCCGATGTTTGCAGTTCCTTGTTTGTGAGCACACAGCCATTGTTGAGCCTGACAGACGAAATGTGTTGCCAAGGTTTTGCCGGTGGAATATTGAAAAGCTCACAGGCAAATTGAAACATGTCGACCTGTCAGCAAAAGGATCCATAGAGGTATATATTTGCAGTGTTTTAAATTTTTTTTTTTTTTTTCGTGTAATGTTGAGTTGGTTGTTTGGTTTTTTTTCTTTTTTTTTTTTTTTTTTTTTAACACAAGTTAATATTGCGAAACTAAGTGGGAATGTTGTTGAACACTATATTGTGAATGTACTAGGTGATGCACCTTCTGTACATGTTGAAAATGTTGAAACATTACAACTTGTTAAAACCATTACAAAGTCACGAGTTGTGTACTCGCCCACCCACAGATTAAGATTTGGAGCTGTTTTGGGCTTGATTCAGTACATGTTTGAGCACCAATTACACTACCAATAAGTTAGGCTTGTGGCTTAGAATTTTGAGAAGCCTAAGAGACATTTTATCAAACAGTTTCAAGGCAAGAAAAATAAATAAATAAACAAATCCTTTGTTATAAGAATCCAAAGCCAAAACAATAACAAACTCCCCTTCATCTTGTCTTTCTGTTCACAAATTCAAACGCTTACACCCAAAAAAATTTTAGACAGAGAGAGAGAGAGAGAGAGGAAGGGGAAGGGGAATAGAAAGAATAAGAGGAAGGGAAATAGGAAGAAGAAGATGAAGAAGAAATACCGTCTGCGGTGTGTGATGTGGTACTGTCGCTGGTCGGAGATGGGTGCTCGTGTGCAACGATGGCTGGTCAGAGATGGGTGCTCCTTGCGACGATGGCGAGCAGCTCTCTATGGAATGAGAGAAAGAGAGATGAGAGACAAGAGTGACAGTGTGAGGTATTTTATATAGATGGTTATTGGCAACTAAAATTTTTTAGTCACTGAAAGTATTTTATAAATCCCTCCAAAATATTTTAAATGTCTCCCTCCAAAAATTTTTATTCTTTGGCGACTAAAATTCTTTTTTGTCGCTGAATATGAACTTTTGGCGACCAAAATTTTGGTCGCTAAAAGTAAAAAATAATTTTTTATATTTTATTCGGCGACTAAATGATTTTAGTAGCCAAAACTCAATATACTGCGACTAAAATTCTTTTTTGCCTTTGAAAATAAACTTGTAAAAAATAATTTTTTTATTTTCCATTCGGCGACTAAATGGTTTTAATAGCCAAAACTCCATATACAATGACTAAAAAAAATTTTGTCGACAATTCTGACATTTTTAGCGATTAAATTTTTTTTTAGTTGCCAATAACCAATATACCCCACTAAAAAAAATTAGTAGCTAAATATTTTTCTTTTGCCGAATAAAAAATTTTTTGATCTCCAATTTCACAACTTTTGGCGACTAAATTTTTTTTAATCGCCAATTTTAGTCGCCGAATGTGCATTTTGTTGTAGTGATATGTAATATTATGTTAATTTGAGAACTCTAGTAAACAACAGCATCCTTATGTGGCTTAGTGTAATTTTATTTTATGAGTATGGTTTATCATTTTTTACCATGATATGTATGCATCTTTAGTTTACAGATTCAGATTATAATTTCCATACTCAAGAGTTTTTAAGTTGTTTAGTTAAAATTGTCATGTTCTATTTTCCTAGTTTAATTTATTAAGTTAAGAATGTCATGTTCTATTTTTCTAGTTTAATTCATGTGTTAATATGCGTCTTCTCAATTGTTCTAGATTTTGATTCATATTGTACATGCTTCTTATTCTAGAATTATTTACATGTTAATTACTATAGACTTATTTGCATATTAATTGCAAAAATAATTTACAAATTTATTATATGTTTATTGTGATTTAAATTCTATGTAACTCTAACCTATTAAATTTTAATTTAAGGTTTTGGAGTTATAGAGTTTTGTAACTTATCTAAATGTATGTACATGAATATTGTATAATTTAATTGAGAGAATTAAATTTATTTATTTGGGGTTATGACTATTAAATTTTATTTTAAAGTCGTAATTTAATTTGGAGTTACAAATTTTATTTTAAAATTGAATTTAATTTTGAAGTTTTAGTTTTATTTTGTAACTCTTGCATATTAATTTAATTTATTTATTTAGAGTTAAAAGAATACATGATTATTGTTTTGTATAAATTGATATGTAACTCTTGAATATTAATTTAATTTATTAATTATTGTCAATTAAATTGATATGTAACTCATGGTTAGAAGTTTAATTATTTAGGATTTATAAGGTTTTGTAACCTTTGTAATAATTTTATTTTTGTAACTCATCTAGCATGTTAATTGATTAGTTAATTTTATTATTAATTAGTTTACCAGATGGTTTCAATTAATTTATTATATTTACTTTCTGCCTAGATTATTTGGTATGTATTTTTGTTTTGGTTTTTCTGCTATCCTTTTTACAGGAATACCTAGGCGTGGAAAAGAGTTATTTGGATTATATTATTTAAGCAATTTTGTTTGAGATTTAGTAGTGGTTACTTGTCATTTTTTTAAGCAAGGTTGTTTGCTTGGCATATTAGAAGTAGTTTCTTTTTTTGGCTTATCTTTGTTAGTAATTTTTTTTATATTGCTTGTAATTGGTAATTAAGAAAAAAATTAATTTATTGACTTATTAATTTATTTGAGTCACGTCATTTTTTTATTTTTTTAATATATTTTAAAAAAAAAAGTCAAAAAAAAAACTAAAAAAATTAGCATTTTTCTTATTTCCGAAATAGACCTAAATTGAGCCACCAATAGATTCATAAGCCAGTCTTAACTTTGATTACAACATGAGGCAAAGAATATAGGAATGCTAATGTTGATTTGAGAATAAATATTTGATAGAATGGTGTTATTATATAACAATAATATCTATTAATAAAAAAAATTATATGGCTATCATGGAGATTATTTGTTTAGATTAGTAGGAGATAAATAAGTGCCCATATAATCTCATTTATGATATTTATTGGTCGTGATACATAAAATTGTGTAATCTTTGTACTCAGTATTTATTTTTAAATCTAGATTCTCATTCTGAAAAATGTTGTGTTTTTAGCTCAAGTATCTCTCAATCATACTCACATGACGATGCATGGGGATACGAAAATTTCTTGACAAAGGATCTTGAGAAAAATTTTTGGATAGAGGATTGCATGCTGCCAATTGTTTATGTTGTAAATTTCACATCATTGAATATATAGACCATTTTGATGGTTATATATGTTACTTCTTTCTTTTCTTTTCTTTTTTATGTTACTTTGATATGCCTAAATTGGCCTTAAATGAAACTTACTTTGGAATAACAGTAACATCAAGCTATTAAGTCTCAAGATTAAAATCCCCATCCCAAAAAAAAAAAAAAAAAGGACAGATATCAATATCAAACAAAATATTTAAAAGGTGCATTATCAGAAAAGAAGGTTAGAACTTACAAGTGACATTAGATCCATATATGGACCTTTATCCACCATTCTCCAAACCAAAATCTTCATCAAACAAAGCTATAACTTTTAACATCAACACAATAAGTTCAAAAATACAAAAATAAAATACAAAATTAGACATAAAAAAATATATATTGATAGACATGATTTTTTATAAATAGATTCAACTAACAAATCTAATAAAATCTTGTCCATTCATATATTTCACACGTCCAATTTTATATTTAGTTTTTATGTTTTTAAACTTACTAAGAGCCACGTCCACCTTTTAAATCAACCCACCTCACTATCCGGTATTAAGTTTAGTGACATAGAAACAAGCTACAGAATCGGACATAGAATGTATATGAATTGACAAGATTTTCAAAAGTAGCTCCCACCAACAAACTTTGTAAAATCTTATCATCCGCATATTTTATATTCGATTCTGTATTTAGTTTACGTATTGTAACCGAACTGCACTACATAGACATCAATGACCCAACAACCCCAGCAATGAGGGTAGTAGGGTCACCAAGAACCGCTGATATAACAAACTGGACAGCCAAAGCAGCCATCTGACCACACCTCTTCCCTTTGCCCCTATTCCTATTATGAGGGGTCTGAAGTGTACCTCTCAAACTAGGAATTCTAGTCTCCAACTTCCTCTCATTCCCTCCTATTCCCCCACTCCCACCACCCCTAAAATATATCTCATGCCAATACTCCACCAACATCTCCTTCACACAACCAACATGCAAGTTATACTTCTTGCAATTCGACCGGTAACTCCAATTCCTCTCCTTCCTCCCACACCGATGACAAGATGTGCTAACCTTCCTATACAGGTACAACTTCACTTCACCGTCATTGAGCACCATGGGGAGCTTCGCGCAACACGGGTGGAGGTCGAATCCACAGGCCTTGCAATGGTAGAGGAAGCCGGTGATGTCCTTTTCGCAGGCGTTGCAGTAGCGGGGAGTGGTGCCCGGTGGGCGGGGTAGGAATTGGAAAGAGCATTTGGTGTAGAACGGGTGGGAGAGAGAAGGGGAAGGGAGGGCACAGTGGATGTGGAGATCATAGTCACAAGTGTTGTTATTGGAGCATTTGTATCTTGAGCCTATGCCAACTTCTTTGCAACCATCACACTTGAATGGGACTTCTGTGTACTCAAACGTGAGCTTGTGTTGTGGGTGGCTGAAATGAGATATCTCATTGTATTTCATGGTTTGGTAGCTAGCTAGGCAGTGGCTTATAATTCAGGTGAGTAAAATATATATAGAGGTGGTTTGTGATGGTTTGGTTGATGGATGAGAATGTGTAAAAGTGATTAGAATCCATGTAAGGTCACAATTAGATTTTCTAATTAGGGTTATAATGTGGCTTGTTGTTGAAGCAACTAAAGAGGCATTTATGCTTATGGATGGTTGTGATAGTGGAAAATGAGTGCACATAGGAAGGAAAATGATCCCTAAAAAAAATTTATATAAAAAATTTGATCAAAATGATATAACAGTAGTATTCTTTTAATAGATATTTTGATTTGAAATATGAATGCAAATTTGTCACATCATTTTGTATATATTTTTTATATAATTTTTTGTCCAAACATTGTCATGTTCTATTTTTCTAGTTTAATTCATGTGTTAATATGCGTCTTCTAAATTGTTCTAGATTTTGATTCATATTGTACATGTTTCTTATTCTAGAATTATTTACATGTTAATTATTATAGACTTATTTGCATATTAATTGCTAGAATAATTTACAAGTTTATTCATGTTTATTGTGATTTAAATTCTATGTAACTCTAACCTATTAAATTTTAATTTAAGGTTTTGGAGTTATAGAGTTTTATAACTTGTCTAAATTTATGTACATGAATATTGTGTAATTTAATTGAGAGAATTAAATTTATTTATTTGGGGTTATGACTATTAAATTTTATTTTAAAGTCGTAATTTAATTTGGAGTTACAAATTTTATTTTAAAATTGAATTTAATTTTGAAGTTTTAGTTTTATTTTGTAACTCTTGCATATTAATTTAATTTATTTATTTAGAGTTATAAGATTACATGATTATTGTTTTGTATAAATTGATATGTAACTCCTGAATATTAATTTAATTTATTAATTATTGTCAATTAAATTGATATGTAACTCATGGTTAGAAGTTTAATTATTTAGGATTTATAAGGTTTTGTAACCTTTGTAATAATTTTATTTTTGTAACTCATCTAGCATGTTAATTGATTAGTTAATTTTATTATTAATTAGTTTGCCAGATGGTTTCAATTAATTTATTATATTTACTTTCTGCCTAGATTATTTGTTATGTATTTTTGTTTTGGCTTTTCTGCTATCCTTTTTACAGGAATACCTAAGTGTGGAAAAGAGTTATTTGGATTATATTATTTAAGCAATTTTGCTTGAGATTTAGTAGTGGTTACTTGCCATTTTTTTAAGCAAAGTTGTTTGCTTGGCATATTAGAAGTAGTTTTTTTTTTTTTTTTTGGCTTATCTTTGTTGTAGCAATTTTTTTTATATTGCTTGTAATTGGTAATTAAGAAAAAAATTAATTTATTTGAGTCACGTCATTTTTTTATTTTTTTAATATATTTTAAAAAAAAAAGTCAAAAAAAAAACTAAAAAAATTAGCATTTTTCTTATTTCCGAAATAGACCTAAATTGAGCCACCAATAGATTCATAAGCCAGTCTTAACTTTGATTACAACATGAGGCAAAGAATATAGGAATGTTAATGTTGATTTCAGAATAAATATTTGATAGAATGGTGTTATTATATAACAATAATATCTATTAATAAAAAAAATTATATGGCTATCATGGAGATTATTTGTTTAGATTAGTAGGAGATAAATAAGTGCCCATATAATCTCATTTATGATATTTATTGGTCGTGATACATAAAATTGTGTAATCTTTGTACTCAGTATTTATTTTTAAATCTAGATTCTCATTCTGAAAAATGTTGTGTTTTTAGCTCAAGTATCTCTCAATCATACTCACACGATGATGCATGGGGATACGAAAATTTCTTGACAAAGGATCTTGAGAAAAATTTTTGGATAGAGGATTGCATGCTGCCAATTGTTTATGTTGTAAATTTCACATCATTGAATATATAGACCATTTTGATGGTTATATATGTTACTTCTTTCTTTTCTTTTCTTTTTTATGTTACTTTGATATGCCTAAATTGGCCTTAAATGAAACTTACTTTGGAATAACAGTAACATCTAGCTATTAAGTCTCAAGATTAAAATCCCCATCCCAAAAAAAAAAAGAAAAAAGAAAAAAAAAGGACAGATATCAATATCAAACAAAATATTTAAAAGGTGCATTATCAGAAAAGAAGGTTAGAACTTACAAGTGACATTAGATCCATATATGGACCTTTATCCACCATTCTCCAAACCAAAATCTTCATCAAACAAAGCTATAACTTTTAACATCAACACAATAAGTTCAAAAATACAAAAATAAAATACAAAATTAGACATAAAAAAATATATATTGATAGACATGATTTTTTATAAATAGATTCAACTAACAAATCTAACAAAATCTTGTCTAGTTTGATTAAAACATCGTCCAATTTTATATTTAGTTTCTATGTTTTTAAACTTACTAAGAGCCACGTCCACCTTTTAAATCAACCCACCTCACTATCCGGTATTAAGTTTAGTGACATAGAAACAAGCTACAGAATCGGACATAGAATGTATATGAATCTGTGGGTAAGGGTTATATGTTGGGGGGTATGTTTAAACTCAATGTTATGACTATTATCCCAAAGATGAATAAAGATGCATCTTCTTCTGTTTACATGCTTGAGTCTTCCAATTTGTGGCATGGTAGACTAGGACATGTGAACTTTGAATCTTTACGTAGATTAATCAAGTTAGATCACATATCATCTTTTAAGATTAATCCAAAACACAAGTGTGAAACTTGTGTTGAAGCGAAGTAGATAAGATCTTCGTTTCATTCTATTGAAAGAAGTTCAAAGCCGTTGGACTTAGTACATAGTGATGTGTGTGACTTAAAGTTTATACAATCACGTGGTGGCAATAAGTACTTCATCACTTTTGTTGATGATTGCACTAAGTATTGTTATGCCTATTTTCTCAAAAGCAAAGATGAGGATATTGACAAGTTTGTTCTTTATAAGAATGAAGTTAAGAATCAATTAGGCCGCAATATTAAGGCTTTAAGAAGTGATCGTGGTGGTGAGTATGAATCATCGTTTATTGAGATTTGTGCTCAATCCGGGATTATCGACCAAACCACGGCGTCTTATTCTCATCAGTCAAACAAGATTACTAAGTGAAAGAATAGGACGCTAAAGGAAATGATGAATGTAATGTTGATAAGTTCTAGATTGCCACAGAACATGTGGGGGGAAACAATTCTCTCCGCGAATTATATTCTAAATAAAGTACCACGAAAGAAGGTGAACAAGACCCCGTATGAGTTATGGAAAAGCGTTAAGCCTTCTTATAAATTATTACGAATGAGGGGGTGTCTTGCAAAAGTAGCAATACTTACACCCAAACAGGTTAGGATAGGCCCGAAATCCGTGAATTATATATTCATTGGTTATGCACATAATAGTAGTGCATATCGGTTTCTTGTACATAAGTCTGAAATTTCTGATATACACAGGAATACCATTACGAAGTCAAGGAATGCATGTTTCTTTGAAGACATTTTTCCTTGCAGAACCCAAGAAGGGGTTCCAAAGTCTTTGGAGCAATTTGACGAGCTTGCTAGTGATGATGATCATATTGATGATCAAGGTGATATTCAAATTGAAGATTTAGATGAGCCTAGAAGGAGTAAAAGGGCTAGGATGTCCAAGTCTTTTAGTCCATACTTCTTGACTTATATGGTTGAGAACGAATCTCAAACTTTTCACAAAGCTGTGACTTCTCTTGCGAGTCTTTCGTGGAAAGAAGCGATCAAAAGTGAGATTGACTCCATCTTACAGAACCACATCTGGAAGTTGGTAGATTTACCTCCAGGTAGTAAGCCTTTACGCTACAAGTGGATTTTTAAAAGAAAGATGAAGGCCGATGGGTCAATTGATAAGTATAAGGCTAGGCTCGTTATCAAATGGTACACGCAATGAGAAGGCCTGGATTACTTTGATATGTGCTCATCTATAACTAGGATAACATCTATTCACATGGTAATTGCGATAGCAGCCTTTCATAATCTAAAGATATACCAGATGGATGTAAAGATAACTTTCTTAAATGGGGATTTGAATGAAGAAATCTACATGGAGCAACCTGAAGGGTTTTCAGCTCCAGGGCAAAGCAAGAAAGTCTATAAACTTGTCAAATCATTGTATGGTTTGAAGTAAGCGCCTAAACAACGACATGAGAAGTTTGACAACATAATGTTGTCAAGTGGGTTTAGAATCAACGAATGTGACAAGTGTGTTTATGTCAAAGACACTGACAGAGATTATGTTATTTTGTGTCTATATGTTGATGATATGCTCATTATAGGTAGTAATGATGAAATGATCAAAACTGCCAAGAATTTGTTAAACTCTAAGTTTGACATGAAGGATATTAGCATTGTAGATGTTATTCTGGGAATAAAGATTACCAAAACATCTAGTGGAAGTGTACTTTCTCAATCTCATTATGTTGATAAGATACTTGAGAAGTTTAGTGGATCAGATACGAGTGTGTCACCGATATCTGTAGACTTAAGTCTACATTTTACCAAGAATAATAAAGAGAATGTCTCTCAGTTAGAATATTCTCGGGTAATTAGAAGTTTGATGTATCTGATGAGTTATACTAGGCCGAATATAGCCTACTTGGTTACAGGCTTAGTAGATACACGAGTAATCCCGCTGCTACTCATTGAAAGGGCATTGTGAGGGTGTTAAGGTATATACGCTACACTCGGGATTATGGGCTACATTATACTCGATATCCAACAATGCTAGAAGGCTACAGTGACACGAATTGGATATGAGATATAAAGGACTCAAGGTCAACTAGTGGATATATGTTCACTCTTGGTGGGGCAGCCGTGTCTTGGAAATCTTCCAAGTAAACGTGTATATCTAGATCAACGATGGAATAAGAGTTTATTGCTTTAGATAAAGCAACAGAAGAAGTTGAATGGCCTCGCCATTTCATTGAAGATATCCCACGTTAGTCTAAACCTGTGCCAGCTAGTTGTATTCATTGTGATAATCAATCTGCAATTGGTAGGGCACAGAGTAATATGAATAATGGAAATTCTAAACATATCCGTCG